CCCTGCAGCAGGTGAGGAGCAGCCCCCGCCGGTCGGCAGGTACCCGGCAGCTGGGCGCTGCGCCCCGGCCCCCCCGTCACCGGTCCCTGAAGGGCCCTGGGAGTAGGGCTGGGTGCCTGGAGCATCGTGCAGAAAGTATTTTGGAGCGGGTGTACTGTGGTCGTCTTTACGCCTCCTCACGGTTTAGTTCGGTGGGTTTCCTGGCTCTGCGGCCAGTGCGATTTCTGCTTTCCAGCCCTGTGGAACCAATACTCGGTCTCTTAAACTCATGCTGAGGCCTGAAGCAGGTACAATTACGTACCTTTGAATAGATGAGTAACACGGGGATTTCATTTTCAATTAATTGTAACAATAGGAGGAGGGAAGAATAATCCTAGGCTACTCTATTAGGCACTTTCTGTTTTAAGACGAAAAGTGAACTCCTTACCAGCTTTCCAGCAAAGGGATTGTCAGTATCTTCAAATAACTCTTTTGCAATACAACAGGAACCGTTCTTACCTTCTTGATTTGTTTATGCATTTTTGTTCTTGAAAGCCAGTACCAAAGGCCATTGTATACAGCTGGGGAAACCATGCCGCACCAGTTAACAATGGCCTACTCCAGCCCTTCGCTTAATTCCATACTCACAGTAGTGTGATAAAGGGATCTTATTCATCATAGCGCAGACATAGGAACGTACCAGCACATTCCATCGCACAAACCTGCCATTTATGCTGTTAAACTGATAAGGGGAAAGTGTCACTTAGTGCAGTGACAGTTCTTAGACCAAGGCACTCCCATCTCTCAAAATACCAGTCAAAGGCGTTTTCATTTTTTTCTAGGTAGAACAATGCTTGAAGCGCCTATGGAAAATGAACTTGGTGGGCTGCATTGAAACTCTGGCAGGACTGATTCCCAAGTAAGTGTCACGATCCCATATGTTATGTTATTCATTAACTCAGTCTGCAGAGCTAAGGGGGAGGGGGACACGAGATCATAACCATCTCCTCATCCTTGTGTCACCACAGGAAAAATACACCCCAAGCCCATGCAGAGTGCTTAGTTCCCAGCCAGCCTATGCTGGAGACAGTGGCTCTGAAGGTGTTGGGAGGTTGCAAGCTCATACTGCGTCTACTGGACTGTTGCTGTAAGGCTTTTCTGTATCCTTTTTTCACCATGAAAACGTTCTTACAGTTCACCAGCAGCACCTCCTGAGACCAAAACTAGGTCTATTGTAGGGCTTCTATTGCCAATGGACTCAACTGTGCAATTCATACGTGCAACTTGGAGTTTCTTTGATAGCCAAACATCTTATTTTCAAGTTATTATGTAGCAACCTCAGGCTTTTGGCTGGCTGCTGTTCCGGCCTTGAGCAACCCAACGTTTGGATACTCATCTCCCAAATTATCCAGGATATTGCCTTGTGAATTGCCTCTAGTCGGTGTGTTCAGCAAGTCTCATTACTTGCTGTTTATTTTTAATCCTTAACTGGTGTAATCTTCAGCTTGTCCGTTAAACATCTCTGCTCGGAAGAATTCATACTTTTGAACACCGTGGCTTCGGGGTTGTTGAGCCGGCTATGGTTTGTGTATTCAAAAGTCTGTCTTGTTTGTTGTCTGTCTGTTTGACGTGCCTGTCAGGGAGGAGGGCTTGTAATTAGGCCTTGCTGCTGAGCGAGCTTTATTCAGTTGGGAGGAGGAAGAGGGGGGTCCCGCCGTCCTTTTGGACTGGATTCTAGCACCTGAAGAGTTGTGTAAGCGGAGAGAAACTTCTTACACGCTGTTATGGAAGGCTTTGTTCTTGGTTCATAGCAAACTTTATGTAGCACTAATAAAATCACAGTGTTAATGCCAGCCTGCCACAAACACTACATCCAGTGCTCTTTGCAGCACGCAGTAAGTCCTGCCTCATGCTGAAACGGAGAGGCTGGGATAAAGTTGTTCTATAACACTGCTGAGTTTTCCAGGGAAATCGGGGCTTTGGTCTCTCTCAGTACGAGAAAGTCGCTGCTGTCTGTAGCTGAAGGAGTAACAGCATTGTGCAGAGGAACTCAGCAAAACGTTCTTTGGCACAAGAAATGTGTCTCCCCAGTAAAGCAGAGCAGGCGATTGTACGGCATCGGTGCTAGCGCCATTGTCCTTAGTTGGTACAGGTTGCTTCTGGGGAAGGAGCTCGTGTCAAATGATTTGGATGTGACCTAAGAACCCGATGAGTCCCAGGTGTGGCACTCAGCAAAGCTCTAGGAAAGCAGAGGGGCTCCTGACCGGGGATTTACTACTCAAGTCACTCCTACATTCTGATCTTGAGCGGTTCCTTAAAGCTCAGACTAATATTAAGGCAAGCATGGTGATGGAGTGTAAAAAGATAAGCTTCTTTTGAGGGGGAACAGGGACAGGGCAAGTTGGAAACTCTTCCATTGGCTCTTCCGCTCGAGCCGAAGGCAGTCGTTCAGTGAGCATGAGGTTTTGCTAGAGGAGGCCCCATACCTTCCTGTCTTCTCTCTCCAGGATTCAGTACAGGTGTGTATTGCAGAGCCTCATGTCCTTGTATGGCACATTGTCGACATCACTGCATCTGGTATCTCAGACCCAACAGATGCCTTATGTCAAGGGGTTTACCTTCCCTTCTGATATCAGTAACTTCCTTGGAGTTAACATTTCTTCTGAGGTGAAGAAGCAAAAGGCTAGAATGCTTACAACAAAAAAACCTACTGGCTGGCTGAAGAAGCTCTTCCCAATGATGCCAGAGGCAGTGTCGGAGGTTGGGAAAAAGAGAAATTTTGCCACCTGCACGAGTGCTGTGAAAAACTGTAGCACCCCGTGCCCCGCGGACATCGGAGAGCCAGTTCTGGTGACAAGAGCCAGCAGAGGTAAAGCCTTGTGCCACAGCACTACTGGTTTCTGACGTCTCGGAGACCGACCGCAACTTCGGTCCAACAGAGCCGAGCGCTTCTGCTACCCCCAGAGTGCGGTTCTGGTACAAACTCCCCTCTCCTGTCCTTGGAAGAGGAGGAGAATGCTGCATGTGCCCTTGCCTGTATAAAGTTGTGGATAATGTCAGTATTGTGAGGTGTTTTGTTTTAGTTATGATACTGCCTGGAGAGAAGCAGGTAATGAGTGCAGTATCCAGGTCCTGTAAATAGTTATTTGTATTTTCCTGCTTCTGCCTAGCTGGGGCCCAAGGATAGCGAGGGAAGCTACGGGCGCTGTCTGCAGCCCATACAAGAGTCAATAAGGGTGTAAGTACAGGATGCGAGTATCCTGTGCTTGCTGGTTCTGGGCTGTGCCCCAGCCTTCCCCTGCACTCGGGGCTGTGGCCGGTGACTGCAGGCATCCGGGTGTTTGCGTGAAGCTTTTACCCATTAAGTTCTTCTTTGCAGCCATCTGTAAATCTCTGCATCCTCCTCAGCCCCTGCCAGCTGCCACGCGAGATGAGCGTAGTCCCCTTGATTTTGCCTGGAAATGTGGAGTACAGGTGTGAGCCTGCTGGGACAGCAGGAGATCTGAGAGCTCAGCGGGGCAAAGCATTGCAGGGTCTCTGTGCAAAGACTTAAAACTGTCTTTACTTCATAATGGGAACTCCCCTCTCTCTTTGTAGGGAAGCACCTGGGGTTTGACGTGAAGAGCTTACTTAGACCATCCAGACTGCCAACACAAGAGGTTTGTATGGTACCATTTTACACTTTTTTTTTAACTTTAAAGACCCTAACACTCCAAACATGATATCCCTGATTGAAAATGTCCCCTTTCCCTGCCTTATTTTTGCTTGTCTAACAACCCAAGTTAGCATGGAAGCTTTGCACTGAAAAATCACTACTAATTTCTGCTTAGGAATTTGAGTAGACAGGAATACAAATTCTCGTTACCGGCCTCTTCTTGTATTCCACAAAACAAGGCTGCTCTTCCACTTTCTTCTTAGAAAATAAGGAATGTTCTCATAAAAACATCAGTGCTCTGCTCCTCTCCAGCAGAGAGGATCAGGCATGTCATGTTCTTAAAAGACTATCTATTTCTGTTATTCTTTCTTTCAGGGTATAAGCATTGCATCAACACCTTTTAAAACAAAGTTGGCATCACTTTCCTCTCGTATAGCAAAATCGCAGCATGCTGGATCTCTTGTAGAGATGGTCCAAACAGCTACGTCATTCGGGGAACTGTCAGAGGCACTCAGAAAAGCTATTCTGTGGTGCAAAGGCAACAAATTCAAGTCAGCAGCTTATTTTCTGCGTAACAAGTTGCTGAAAAGCAACCGGCTGCACCACGTGGAGGCTCAAGGATGCAGGTAATTTTGCATGGGTGTAGGGTTTCCGGATCTGACGCTTTACATTTTAATATTATGTATTTTGCTACAGTGTAGAGAAACGCAGTGGTCTCACCCATTCTATTTGAACTCAAACGGGATCACTAGTTCAGGTGACTGGATGCTCTGACATGAACATTCTGCTTAGCCTCAGTCATTTGTGAGAGGATTTAAAAGGCTAACAAATACACAAATACTTAAGAGGGAGGATGAAAGGGCAACTTAAATCATGTGCATGTTTAATGGTAATGATTATACGATGCAAGGGGTGTTGTCTTTCTTCAGAATGCCCTGGCTACTATTGTACAAGGTGCTGTTGTATCTCCTTGGTATGACAAGGAACGTGATGGAGAAGGCTAATAACCAAATCTCTCCAAACCCCAAATGAAATAACACTTCAGCAGCTGATAAAGTTATGTTTTGTGCACCTTCCTCCCCTTAAGCTTGAAGAAAAAACTGTGCTGTGTCAAAACATCTGTCCGTAAATACCTCCTATACGGGTCACTAAACGCGCGCTGGCCGAAGCGGTACCTCGGGGCACGGTTCTGTCGAAGGAGGATCAAATCATCCGCCCGCTTGAAGAGAACTCTGAAGACTGTTGGGCAAAAACCTTCTGAGCTTTTTGGGGTCTGTGAGAACAGTGCATCTCTCGTCCCCCCAGCTTACCAGGAGGGGCCTCCGAGTCGGGAAGGGCGTTCCAGTGCTGATACAGGCTGTGTCGAACTGAGCACAGCAGGGGCTCCGAAGCGGCTGCTGCTGGAAGGAAGCCCTGGCCCTGTGTGGAAAGAAGCTACTGAGAACATGGATATTGATTCTATTTTTGCAGCAATGGGTGTCTGACCCCAGACTTGCAAGGAGGAAAGGGGTCAAGTCATTCCAATTATTATTTTTTTTTTTTAAGTAAAATCCTCAGAACCCTAATGGTGTCTTGGTAACTCATACCCTGAATTCTGCTAAGAAAGCAGCAACTAGTTCATTATGTTTTTGTAAAACAGCTTTTTTTTTTTTTTTTTAAAACAGCTGCCTCCCCTTCATCCTCTTACCTAGCCCTGTCTAGGAACAGGGACTTTGAGTCACCCTTACTCAGTGCCCCTTCTCTGTTGCTTGACCACGTGTTAATTAAGTGCTGCTGTCGAATCCACAGTGGAAGCTACAGCTGATCACTTACTGCTGCTTAGGACAAAAGCCTTGCTGCCACCTTTCCGAGGAAGCAGTCTTACACCCTTCCTTCTGCGCTGCTTGTATAGGGGACGGCCTTGACTTGCGGTATTATCGCTGTTCAGCATTTGTTATCCTTGTCCTGAAATGAGACGTTACCTGGACCTACTGCCTCTGAGCTGCTCCAGAAACAGGGGAAAGCGCAGCTGTGGCCTGAAACAGTAAACTCCTGACTAGTGAACACGTTGCTCACTGTCCTGAAATCTTTTTAACGTAAGTGGAATTTCTGCCTGCTTGGCACTGTAAGGCACAGCTACTCCTATTAATGAAATAATGTTAGAACAAGCACTGGGGTTAGTGCTTTCTGCCAGGCTCTTGATTGTAACTAAGTTCCAAGATCAGAATCACCAGGAAATACTAAGAAAAAGTTGTCTCAGAATGAAAAACAGGAATCTGCATTATTGTAGAGCACCGGCCAGGTGCTCTGCAGGGGTAAGGAAAGGCTGTAGGTGCAAGTAAATCTAGAATAGGTTAACTTCAATTTCCTAGGCTTAATATTGGTAAAAACCAAAAGAGCAGAAGAAAAAAATAACCTTCTTAGCCAGTTAAGCGCCAAACCCCCTGTATTATGCACCTTGTGTGAACGGATCAATTTAAGTTTAGTTACGAGGAGTGGGCACAAACTTAAAATGTTTTATTCAAAGAACATATACAGAGCAAAGGGCAGAACTTCGGTAGTAGTTCGGCCTTGAAGACTTTGTGCAGTTAACCAAGATCCCTTTTGTAGGCTTCCTGTCACAGGAACACCCACTGGTAACTGAAATCGTTGTAGAGAATCACCCATCGTTAGCCCTCTAGGTATCTGATTCAACACAGTCCTACTTCAAACAGACCTCCTGCCATTACAAGAATCTTTAGAGCTCTTATTTCATAAAACGGTATAAAAATACTTAAATAACCCACATACAATCAGGTAACATTCAACTGCTTGAATACTTTTCAGAAAAGGCTGGGAGCGAGGGCAGGCATCCCAGCAGTGACCTCCATGCTGAATAACCCCTCCACACACCAGAGGCGACATTCCTTCCTTCTGGGCAGCTGGCGCCCAAGTAACGAATGCCCCAGTGCAGCCTGCGCACAGACTCAAGATCCGTAGTTGGCTTCATCAAAGGCCTTTCTGGCTCGTTTCAGTTCTTCGTTCATAGTTAGGAGGTCTTTAACTCTGGCAAACTTCCGGGGGTCCTTGCGGATTAGAAAGACAATGTCCTCAACCTGTACACGACCCTGCCGCCCAATTGACATGGCCTTGTGCGTCTGTTAGAGGGAAAGGAGAAAGTTAGGAGGGTTCCTTTGCCCCTTAATTTCTTTTAAGCTCTCCATTCCACTTTATTTCTTGTCATTTTATAGTCAAAAAGTAAGCAATTGCAGGATCTGGGCACCACCGTCCTAGTCACACGAGAACTTTGCAGTAAACCACGGACTTACTGTGGCTCTGCTGTCCCCAGCTGCCCGTCACTTACACCCAGCGCATACCACTACGTACACGTCAGAGTAATGACATCAAAACTATAGCCAGCTTGCACGTAGGACACCCAGCCTGCAGGGTGCCTGAAGACAACGGGCATCAGGCAGAACTTGGAAGCAGCGTGAAGTACCTGCACCACAGGACAGTTTAGGGCATTTTGATGAGGGAAGGCAAGGCCAACCTTTCAAAAGGGGATCCACAAACAGTAGGAATAACTGTTTTCAAAAAAAAAAACCAAAACAAATTTTCAAACAGCACCCAAATGTCTGGAAGAGCGATGGCTTCAGGCCCCAGAAGCTCGCGTTTCGTTTGTAGCGCAGAGCTACGTTCCCATCCATGTAAAGACACCGGGAGCACACAAGAAGTCGACAGACTTTCACAGCTGAGCCTTGGTGTTTGTCAGCTGCGCGTATAGCGATGCCACAGGGAACCCCCAAGTCGGACGTGTTTTCCCCCCTCCCCGCCAATACTCATCTAACTGCTACTTAAGGGCTTCAGACTCTGTTCTAAATCCACAAGGAGCAAGATGCGTGAATTTTGCCGTAATCCTGGAAGAGCAAGGTTTAAGTTCAGCTTTTTCCTACTAGCATCAGAGTTTTGGGCCTGGGATAATGCAGTATTTGAGTCAGAGGTATTGGCCTTCAGGAGGCCGAAGTCTTAGCGAGGATGTTTTGACCGTGCTGTCCAGAGCTGACTTACCATTTCTGTGATAAACTCTATTACCAGGTCCTCAAGAATGTCCACCGATTCTGTGTAAGGGTTCTGGTCATCCCCAAATCCGTACATCATGCATCTTACTGCAGAAAGAAACACTCGGCGTCAGGCTCCTTTCGCCCGCTGGGCGCTGCCGGCGGCGAGTCGGAGCTCGCCAGCCCGGGCATCCGTGGGGCGGGGCCGCAGCTCGCCAGCCCGGGCATCCGGGGGGCGGGACGGCAGCCTCGCCTCTCGGGCAAGGCAGGCCTGGAGCAACGGAGGGCAAACGAGCAGGCGGACAGAAGCCAGCAAAGGCCGGCGCTGTACGTACAGAAAAGCACGTCTGATGACAGACTAAACATGCATTTAGCCTACCAAATACTGAAGGCTGGCTGACTTTTGGCACGGTTAGGTTCAGAGGATGCGTTAGCAGTATTTTTGGGGGGGGGGATCTACGCAACAGCTTCCTGCGCTCGCAGTCGGGGCACCGAATGGAAGCCGCTGTTTGCCTAGGGAAAGCCGAGCTTCAGCTGTGTCTGGGGGGAGGCCAGAGCCGCGGGGACCCGTGGGCGCGCCCGGCCCGACTCACGTTCTTTGGAGAACAGCCTCTTCCTCTTGCCTTGCCCGCCGTCCAGGCCGCCGCCGGCTTCCTCCGCGTCCTCCTCGAACTAGACGGGTACAGCGGGGCGGAGGCCGC